AGCACATACACGTGCACGTTAACAGTTATGAATTGTAGTGCATGATAAATAATGCTTTGATAGAGGAGATCAACATTTCCCCAGCATGTGAACAGATGGCACAGGCTTTGCTGGAAGACCATGGTGACACGGTAGCATCTCCATCGCTTGTTCAGGTTGGAGTTCTGTCACATCATAGCAATGTTGGAGAAAAACTCTAAACATTCCATCTAATTTTAGCACTGAAAGGGGAAATTTGTTGTTTGTTCGTTTCTAAAAACAAAAATAGCACATCAAAAGCAGCAGAAGAGGAACTGTAAAATCTCACAGGGATGGTGTGAGGATGAATAGCTAGCTACTTGGTGAGTAGAAAGTTTGAAGAACGTCCGTCCTCATCCGTTACAGTGGTCTTTATAAAGAAATAACAACGTGCCACTACTCTGTAAATATTTCATTCGGTATTGAGTATTTCAGACTCAAGGGAGTGACGCTTATGGAGACAGGTTTGTTTGTTTAAGTAGATGGGTAGAAAAGTGGGTATGGGAACTCCCCACCCCTTAAATATGTGGCATATACAGAGTAAGAATGGAGGAGTGGGGGAGGAGTAACTTTACAGGGGAGAAACCTAACAAAGACCACCTCAGCCAGGTGGTCAATGTTCACATCAACACGGATGTATGTTGCTAGTGTGGACTCCTTGAGAAGATGTGATACAAATGGGCACTTTGTGGTCTTCCTTCAAAAAAAATCATACCCGTAGTGTAATTGGCGGAGGGGGGAATCGCAAATTCCAATAGAAAGGCATTCTACAAAATACCTGACCGGCACTACTCAAAATTGTTGAGGTCATCGGATACAAGAAGCATCTGGAGATTCACTTAAAAGAAGCAAAAAGAGACTGAGAAATGATCAAGAGTAGCCCAGGGGACGTGACTATGTGTAATGTGGCGTCTTTGGTGGGATTCTGAAACACACAAAAGGACATCAGGTAAAAACTAAGGACATTTGAGTTATTAATAATGCACATGGGCTCATTACTGTCAGATTCATACCATATTAAGGTAACATGCCAGTAACAGAGAAAACTGAATCTGAGGTTTATGAGAAGCCTCTGTCTTCTTGGTATTTTTCTGTAAATCTAAAACTGTCTAAAAGTTTATTTTTAAAAAGTAGATGGTTAACAGGATATCTACTTTGAACAGACAGCTTCTAGTCAGCTGGTCAAGTCTCTTATAGGATTTGAAGGTTATCACACAAGACTTACAAGGATTCATTGCTAATAGTAACTAGGATGTTAATGAAACCCACTGTGGACTTATAACATCCTTTGAGTAAAACTGGAGTGAGGGGCTTCTAAGAGCATGGTAGATAGAGCCCAAATGTGTCCTCATTATCAGCACCTTCAGAAGAGAACAGTTGAAACTGAACCATGAATCTAGCCACAGTAGCCCACGGTGGATGGATCTGACTCACTGAATCACATCTCAAGGCTTCTGCCCAATCAATCAAGTTAACAATGACTGAAAATGAAATCACTGACAAAGGCTTCTCCTGGACCATCTCAGAGTCCAAGTACTGACTCGGTTCAAAGGAACTAAAACTGAAAACCCTTGATCTCACCCCAAATAATCATTCTAGGTTAGCCTTGTCTGAACCGGAGTCCTCGATTCACTGTACTACTCATAACCCCAACGGAGGGTCCCTTTGCTAAGAACCAGACAGCCCGTTAGGGCCATGGCGACCTGTCTGGGAGCTTTCTGATCTTAGCTCTGGTCATCCATCTCTACAGGAAAAGGGTCTTCTCTTTTCATCGGGCCCATCCTTTCAAGCAAGCTCACTTCACAATCATCGATAATATTCTGCCTGGAGGGTCTCCTCCACAGTGTCTTGCATTTGAACTTGAGAAGGGCGAGCCCGTTGCTCTGGAGTGGGAAGACCTGGAGGCGCCAATCGAGCGTGCGTCCTCAGATTCTTGCCTTTGTACGTAGAGTTGTCAGGCAAAAACTGGGTATGGGCGTTTTAAAACTACGGAGCCATTTCGGGCAGAGTTCATGAGAAGAAAGCCGTAGAAAATTTCGAAGCAGGGTTCATTAAACCTCGGCTTTACGTGCGCAGGAAATGCTCACTCTTCGCCTCCAGCCTAAGCACATCGGGCTGCCCCACCCCCCATTTGGGACCCGTGGTATTCCTCGTTCGGATGCCTGAAACACGACGTGCTGGGTGATTTCCCATTCCTGCTCCGGCTCCTGTAGGAACAACTAAGGATGCGCCCAGAAGCAAAGTGCCAAGAACCCAGGAAAATGGCGCCAGGCGGGAGGCGTGAAGCGGCTGCACGACGACGGCCGCTCGCCCGCGAGTGGGCGGGGCTCTCGCTTCCCGCGCACTTTTCTATGGCCAGTCCGAGCCCCGCCCCGTGCGGCCCCGCCCCTCCCCGAGGCCCAGGCCCCGCCCCTGCGCGCGAGCCCACCCCCTCGGGTACGCATGCGCTCTCCGCGCCGTCCGCTCCCAAGGTAGCGACGGACGGTAGTGGAGCTGAGCCCGGCAGTTCGCTCGGCTCTGTGGAGAAATGGGGAGGCGTTGGGTCGGGGCTGAGGGAGGAAGGCGCCCATCCCTCGACGCCTCCCGCGACGCTAGCCCCTGAGCCACAATGCGAGCTTGGGTCCTGCTCTCCGCGGTGCTCTGGTGGCTCACCGGAGGTGGGGGTCTGTTCACAGGCACACAGCGGCCCCTCCCGCGGCTCCGGCTCCTTCCTCCTCCGCTTCGCCCCGCCCCGCCTCGCCTCGCCACGCCCCCTCGGAGCCCCGCCCCCTCGGAGCCCGGCCTCTCACTTAGTGGTTTCTTTCCTCCGCAGTTGCATGGCAGCGTTTTTCCTTACAAAATACGAAAGGATTCATTTATGGCAGGCCAGGACACCCAGGTAATGAGCACCTCTTCTCTCGCCGAGCCTACCGGAAGAGCCGGGGGTGCCCCGGACTTGCCAACGTTCCTCCCGCCCGGGGAAGGAGAGCGAACGTGTTTTGCACACACCTGTACCCTGGGCCGTCGAGCGAGGTTGCCTCTGGTCACCCGTGCAGCGACCCCTCTACCTAGATGTCGCCCCTTGCCTAGGCCACGCGGCGGCTCGTAAGGAGCTGGGGTTCCGTGCAGAGGTTTCCTGGCTGCCTTCCCGCGTGGGAGGCCGTGATGAGAGCGGTGGTTTCCAGGGCTGGGAGCCGCTCCGTCGGGAACGCCCTTGCCCCTCCCCTTATTACCTGGAAGGGTTCCTCGTCCAGATGTCGCTGACCACTCGAGTCAAACGCTCCCTAGGAAAAGCAGCCCCTCGGCCGGCCGGGCGCCGGGAGAACTCTGAGCCCGCGCCTGGCGGATGGCGCGGCAGACCCCGCCCTGCTCCAGTGGAAGGGTTGTCTTTCCCGTGGAGTGGCTGCTGGCTCCGAACCGCCGACTTCGTGATGAGCAGCCCAATGCCCAGTGGTTACAGCTGTGCCGCCAGGGCGCTGTACAGTGGTGACCGCAGGGATGCGCGTTGGGCTGCTAACTGCAAGGTTAGCAGTTCGAACCCACTAGCTTCTCCGAGGGAGAAAGAGGAGGCTATCTACTCCCACAGGAGCAGTTCCACTCTCGCCCATAGGGTCACCGTGTGTCCGGCTTGATTCGATGGCATCGATTTAAAATCTGCCCGTGGCACTGGACTGGCTCCGGCAGACTGCAGCGACCTCACCACCACTTACAACCATGAGGCCGATTCCCCATTCCTGCTCCCGCAAATCCCAAACAGAATAGGGACTTGCAGAAAAGGACTAAAACCTTCTAGTAGCTCCCACAGAGCCTTGATTGTTGTTTTCAACAGAGGAAATGTATAGTGAAATATCAATGTCCCCATAGCGTCGACAATGATCATCTTTGAAATGATTTTGCAACCAACAAACCCAAGCCCTTTTCTGACTTTAAATTGATTCCACTGACCTTAAAAAAATGAGTTCTGAATCAATGCATTAACTTAAACATATAAGTGTATCACGTACTATTTGTACAAGCAAAATAGAAATAAGTATCACAGCAAACAGAAGAAAAATGGCATGTTCTCTAGCACTCTTTAAAACTCACTATGAGAAGCAAAAATAACTTCCCAAAACCATACCCACTGACATGGAGTCAATGCTGACTCAGAGTGAGCCCCCTTGGGTTTCCAAGACTGTAACTTAATGAGAGTAGAAAGCACAGTCTTTATCCAGCAGAGCTATTGGTGGCTTTGAACTGCCAACCATTTGGATCTCAGGCCAATGCAGAACCACAACACCACCAGGGCTCAAAAAAAAAAAATCTTCAAGCTATCCTAAGTGATAATGATTTAGCTGGCTTTGTAAAATAGGATCTAGGAGCAATGGTGGGACTGGGAAGTGCATTAATTTAATTTCACTATACATCATCATGTAGCTTATACCTCATTTTATTTTGTCACAGGGAAAATATATGTAAAATTACATCAAAATAGCCCAGTCCTTGTCTGCATGGATTTTAAACATGCTGAAAAAGAAACAGTGGACCCCACCTATGTATGGATTGGACCTAATAATAATAAATTAGAAGGTAATTTTTAGATTTTTGAAAGTAATATTTAACCGTGTGAATATTTAAAACTCACCTTAGAGATTGGAGAGATCAAATAGAAACTTAAATTTTAGCTGTACTTTCACTTGCTCCATGTTAAGACAAATCATGTTGCATCTTGGTCTGGGCCTTATTTTCTCCTTTGACAAGAAGAGACATGATTGTTTTACCTACTTCTCAGCGCTGTATCAGTGCAAGGTTTTTCTAAAAACCTATCATTCTTGTAGTAGACGAGGAGTCTAACAGGTAATTTTCCATGATGCTAGAAGAGTGTCTTGAAATATAAGCACTATTAATGGCTTTGTACTTTATGTGAAGACGCTGGATAGTACTATCAGCGCGTTTTCTGAATTCATTTTCTGAATTACTGACATCAACAGTCAAAACTAGATGCCAAGAAATGAATGCAAGACAAGCAATGTATGCGTCTTTCAAAAGTATACTTCATGTCATGATTTTCTATCTAGTAACACGGCCACTGAATGTGTGTTAGATTCTTGAAATGAGAGCCCTCCGTTAATGTATTCTTGTTTTGTCACAGCCTTATGTGTACAACTAATGTTTGAATGGCTCCATAGCCCCCTGCTTTGCTGTTTCTGTTCAGAAAGCAGCCGAGTAAACCTGACGAACACAGGCAAGCTGATGATAAGTGACTTCCTGGAGTCCTTTTCTGGACCGTACACGTGCACTTTCTCCTACAAGTCTGTCAAAGCGGAGACGCAAGCAGAGAAAGCTGTGACGAAGACATACGAATTTGTGATGTTTGGTAAGAACGTAAACATTTGACTTGGTGCATTTCGCTTGGATCAAAATTAAACGTATGACTCCTTCATTTGTGAAAGGGCCTCGGGTCTAGAAAACCGCATTTTGCCTTACGGAGTAGTACGGGTGTTCCAACGCATAATGACCCCGCAGGCAGAGTGGCGCTGCCCCACAGAGTTCCCCGGGCTGTAGAGCTCCGCGGGAGACAAAGACCACCTCTTTCTTCCATGGAGCAGCTGGTGGGTTGGGGCCGCTGACCTTTTGGTTAGCAGCCTAGTTCTGTTCTGTTCTGTTTTGAATCGTTTTATTGGAGGCTCTTACAGCGCTTGTAACATTCCATACATCGATTGTCTCGAGCATATTGGTACATATGTTGCCACCATCATTTTCTAAACATTTGCTGTCTATTTAAGCCCTTGGTATCAGCTCCTCTTTGTTCCCTCCTTTCCCCCTCCCACCTAGTGACCCCTTGATAAATTAAAAATATGGAGTGCTTCATGAATTTGCATGTCATCCTTGCTAATCTTCTCTGTATCATTCCAATTTTAGGATATGTGCTGCCTAGTGCTTAGCCAAGGCAGTTCATCCTGAACAATCCTCTTTCAGTCCCCTGTGTCTAGATAGGCAAGTACTGTCTATTTCGTCACAGCTTTGTCAGGTAATGCTAAGAAAATCAGAAACCCAAACCCATAGCCTAGGAGTCAGTTTTGACTCAGAGAGGCCCTGCAGGACAGACTAGGACAGCCCAGAGGGCTTCTGTTTGTCTCTGAACTGGCACCTTTCAGTTGGCAGCCTAGGGCTTGACCTCCGCACCACCAGGCCGCCAATGTTTAATAGGCCATGTAGATTTTATGAAAGCACGGGGATTGTCTCTTTCACGGGACTTTGCTGAGAGCCATAACACTTGCTATAAGTGAAGACCCCCCTCCAAAGTTTTTTTCCTTTGGACACTATCACTTGATCTACAGAGCCACCTACAGGAGCCAGCTCTCCGTTTGTTCTAAGTAGATAAAACCACATCAGGGGGCAGGAATATTTTTGTTAAAATTACATAGTTTCCTATTTTTCACAAAGATAAATAGATGAGGCATGTTATTAGATAAGTAACATTCTATGGTGATTTGCAAGCTTGATAAGATTTGATGCAATATGTTATTTTTAAATTGATAGAAGAAATTATGCTCGGCACACTCGTTTTTATTTTTATTTATTTTCCTGGAAGCCTATCGGGAGCCCGATTATTCCTATCAGATGGCCGTGCGCTTCACCGCAAAGTCTTGCGCAGGGAGATCTAATGACCTGCTCTTTAGCGTGCTGAAGAAGATCTTGGACAATCTAATCTCCGATTTGACATGCCATATCATAGAACCGTCCTATAAGTGCCACCACGTCAAAATCCCCAAACACGGCCTCATGCACGAACTCTTCATAACCTTTCAAGGTAAGGCAAGATTCTATAAGTATTTCTATACTTTTTGAGACTGTGCTCTATTACAAATTAGTTAGCATATCAATGTGAGAGACCTTTATATCATAGGCCTGAAATGTTTGTAAGACTAACTACATTGTTGGTCTTCGCCTGGTTATGGCTTTAAAAATCAGCACACAGTTTATGTTCCAGTATAATATAGTCTTGCTTATCTCTTAGAAGCCAGCATCGTGTTACAGGTTTTAACTGCGCAGCTAATATTTCGCTTGCAATTTCTCATAGAATTTCTGAGTTGTGGTTTTGAGAACTTAATAAAAGGGAGAACCCAACCGGATTGTGTTTATTTCACAGAGTTGTAGTTACTTCCATTAGCCCCCAGATGGAGTGAAATCATAATGTATATTGAAAGAATGTTTGCACCTTACTCGTGACAGGATTAGATCAATTAACTGCATGCACACAACTTTCCCGAGACATCGAGGAAGTTGCAGACTCTGTGGCCCTCTCATTCTCTTTCCAGTCAATCCCTTTGCACCAGGGTGGAAAGCTGCATGCAACCACACCCTTGACTGTGAAGACATCACTAATCGTAATGTCCTCCAGGTAAGAATGCCAATGCACGGGGAATATGTTTGAATAGTCACTAAAGATAGGTAAAGGGTGGGTGGGGGGGAGACTGGGGAGCAATCAATGAATGTGGAAAGGGGAGAAAGCATTAGAACGGATTGTGATGATCTATATTACAACTTTTTAAAAGTGATTTGACTGTGGAAGTGTATGACATGTGAATGTTATACCAAGAAGTACTGACAAAAAAAGAGACCAAACGTGACCTATGGTGACCATGGGTGAAAGAGAAAGAGTTTGCGTAGGGGGCAATGAGTTTATTTTAACGGTGGTGGAACAATTTGGAAATGGCTATCAATAATGATTGTACAGCAGAAAGAGTATAATCAATGGCACTGAATTATACATGTAGAAGTTGTTGAATGTTGTGTATGTTTTTGCCAAAATCGAAAAAAAAACTTTTTTTACACGAATAACAGTGAGGACAAGGAAGAACAGAATGCTGTGAAATTGACTGTGGTAAAGATTGGTCAACTCATCTCTGTAGGATGGAGCTACTGAATCGTATGATAGGTCGATGAAGTGCCAATAAAACTGTTAGAAAAGAAATAAAACGAGTTAAGCCCCCCAAAAAGAGTACTGTAAATCTAAAAAAATAAGTACCAGTACTTCAGTTAATCTTTTAAAAACCCATTTCTCTAAATGGTATTTGTCAATAACAAAGGTATTTCTAAGCAAGTGTTTAATAAATTGGGTTTTTTTTTAAATCATTTTATTGGGGGCTTGTACAACTCTTATCACAATACATCCATCCATTGTGTCAAGCACATTTGCACATTTGTTGCCATCATCATTCTCAAAACATTTGCTTTCTACTTGAGCCCTTGGTATCAGCTCCTCATTTTTCCCCTCCCTCACCATCGCCCCTCCCTCACGAACCCTTGATAATTTATAAATTATTATTATTTTGTCCTTCTTACACCGCCTGACGTCACTCTTCACCCACTTTCCTGTTGTCCGTCCCCCAGGGAGGGAGTTGTACGTAGATCCCCGTTTCTACCCCACCTTCCCCTGACTCTCCTAGTATCGCCACTCTCACCACCAGTCCTGAGGGGTTCATCTGTCCTGGGTTCCAAGTGTTCTTTATTAAAAACAAAAGACAAAAAAACTAGTATTGTTGGAATTTGGTTTCAGCCTTTTAAACTAAAGGTATGTGCTTTTAGAAAGCCCACTGCCAGGAGTTGCTTCTGACTCAGCCACCTTGTAGAGCAGAATTGCTCGTTCAGGGTTTCCAAGGAACACTTCCACGTTCTGCAGAGCTGCTCCAGTTGGTACGGCTGACCTTGCCCTTAGCAACCTGGTGCTCAGCCCCACAGCACTTCGAGGGCTCCTTTATACATACAGGCTGGCCCTGGGTTTTGAAAGAGGTTCGTTCCTGAATGCACCTTGGAAGTAGAGTTTGTATGCAAGTTGGAACAGGTGCACGCAATTCTTACTTAGGCTTCCTTTAGTGCAGCAGTTCTCAATCTGTGGGTCGCGACCCCTTTGGGGGTCAAATGACCCTTTCACAGGGGTACCCCGATTCATAACAGTAACAACATGACAGTGATGAAGTAGCAACGAAAATAATTGTGCGGTTGGGGGGGTGGTGTCGCCACCATATGAGAAGCTGTATGAAAGGATCACAGCATGAGGAAGGTTGAGAACCACTGCTTCAGTGGAGGGCAGGCTGGACGCTCTTTGTCGGATTCAAAGCGTATTGCAGAAAGTGAAGGTGCTGGTGCTGCGGAACTTGTCGCACATAGGAGCTGGTTTCAAGTGTACCAGGAAAGGACAAGCGTGAGTTGTCAAGAGTTCAAAGCCTGGGGACTTACTCTCCGATTAATATTATGTAGTACATTTATGGTAGAAAGATAAATTCGTACACTTTGTTCCCCAAATGACGGTTGAACAACAGGGTGAAGAATATCCCCATCGTGTCACCCTAGGTTAAGCTCATGATTCTTCTAAAATTGGCTCGTCCAGATTTGTGGTGGTCGTCATATTTGCATATTCGCTCTCTCTTCTGCTATTCTCAAAGGTTCAGAACATGATCTGGGGGATGGGGGGAGAGCATGGTCTGAAAACTCCTTTCACAATTTATGTGATTAGTTTTAAATGCTGATTAGAAAAAAATTCTAGGTTTCTATTTTACCTGGCTCTTTTTTCTGGAGCAATATGTGCGTTTAGAATTAATAAACTCCCACTTATCTACATGTGAAATAGGTGTGTTGCAAATCATTCAAAGCTAGTTTTTTGTTTTGATCTGTTTCATTTTTCTTAGTCATTGTGGATGTGAATTGCCAGTAATCGACATGGTCCAGGGCAGGCTGCGTTTCAGTAGTGCCGTGAAAAGCCTGCCGTGCTTTTTTAAGACACTTCATTGCTATTGACAAGAGAGGTTTGGTTCATGGCTTAGTGACTGGACTTCTCTCTGGTATTTTTAAATCTTAGGCAAGAGATCGGATCGAAGAATTTTTCCGGAGCCAAGCATATATTTTCTACCATGACTTTAATAAAACTCTACCCGCGATGCATTTTATAGACCACAGTTTCCAAGTGATACGTCTGGACAGCTGTCGTCCGGGCTTTGGGAAAAACGAAGCTGTGCACAGCAATTGTGCTAGCTGTTGCGGTAATTATAAATATCTAGCTATTTAGATGATGTAGTCAGTGTCATGGATGAGCAATCCACTTAGGGTAATTAAATTGAATTTCTACAGTGATGCTCTTACAAAAAAAATCCATCACTTTTAGCTAAAGAAGAACAATAATTCAAAGCCCCACATTTCTAAATATATATTTTTCATATATCTGTGAATTCTTCCTAACATACTATAATACAAAAAGGTTTTATAAAGTTCTGATTTAAGCTCCTATACTTTGAAAAAGAAAAAGAGTGTTCTAACCCAGAAAACAGAACATGAAGTAGAAATTCATAAACAGGGTACTCAAAGGATGGCTGATGCTAAAGAAAAAAAGTTAGCATGTTAACTTTCTCTGTTTTTAAAATCATCAGACTACAAAATCTGAAACTCACAAGTAACCCGCCCCTCCCACAACTTACCGGTTGGACATGACTAAGTCTAACACAGGCATAGACAAGAAGTTATAGCAAAGACAGCTTTGTACTATTGGTATAAAATACCACGAACTGAAAGGTGATAATGTGTGCATGTATTTTCCTCTACAGTGGTGTGTAGTCCTGGGACCTTTAGTCCTGATATTGATGTTACTTGTCAGACCTGCATTTCCATCCTTGTCTATGGAGCTAAAACTTGCCCATAACCTTCAAACAAAAACCAGCAAGAAGAAGAAGAGAGGTGACAGCCCTGTTACTTGCTTGTGGAAGTAGGGGGACACACGATTTATTCTTGTCCCAAAGCATCTTAGAAGCCTCAGAGATAGCTCCATTAAGTAAAACCAGTAAGGCCCAAACCTTGGAAGACATGCATCTTGGAAACTGTAAGAAAATAATTGACACGGTGTTTCTCAGAAGGCTTGTAGACCAGTATCTCCAGTGTACAAAGGGAAATGTAAGTATTAGTAGATGACTTTTGGTGGCGTATGCTTGTGTGTTTACAAACAGAATCTACTTGCCCTGAACCCAAAGCGATGTCAAGCTCAAGGGGAGTGGTAGTGAAGGGTAAATAATAATAAACTTTATGTTTTCCATATATTAATCTGTTTGAAATCACTCTTATATGATAAAGTTACCTTATATGTTACCTTTGGAATTAGAACCTTTTGCTTTTAGGATTCTTTACAAAAAATTGAATGATTAAATGTACTTTTGTGGTTTTTAGATGCACAGAATAATTGGGCAAATAGTACACAGACTTCCACATACCTCTTCACATCCAGGAGGTGGCCCTGGTGGTGTAGTGGTTACTCACTGGGGAGTTCCCAGTCACCAGCTCCTCCTTGAAAGAAAGATGACGTTGTCTACTCCCTTAAAGTTCCCGTCTCAGAAACCCACAGAACCAGTTGTACGCTGCTGTATCGGGTGGCTGTGAGCCAGCATCGGCTTGATGGCAGTGAATGAGTGATCCATGCCCTAGACCCTCGCTCCCTCACCGCCACCCACAGTTTTCCCCATTAATAGCATCTCGCATTCCTTTGGTGTATTTGTTGCAATTACTGAACCAGTATCAATATATGATTATTAACTACAGTCCATAGTGTACATGAAGACTCATTCTTTGTGCTGTATAAATCTTTGGGTTTTACGACATGGACTCACCATCACAGTTGTCAAAAAGTAAATATTTGTGATTTTTTTCCCCTCAAACTGCCAGTTTTTTAATGCAAAAAGTATAAAATCTCAAATTCATATGTGTGTATTTTGGGGTTTTTTGTTTGTTTTGTTTTCATTGTCTGATTTTTTTTTAAACATTTTATTAGGGGCTCATACAACTGTTATCGCAGTCCATACACACATCAATTGTGTAAAGCGCATTTGTACATCATTCTCAAAACATTTTCTCTCCACTTAAACCCCCGACATTAGGTCCTCATTTTTTCCCTCCCTCCCCGCTCCCCCCTCCCTCATGAGCCCTTGATAGTTTATAAATTGGTATTTTGTCATATCTTGCCCTGTCCGACGTCTCCCTTCACCCACTTTTCTGTTGTCCGTCCCCCAGGGAGGAGGTCACATATAGTTCCTTGTAATCGGTTCCCTCTTTCCTACCCACTCTCCCTTTACCCTCCCTGTTTCGCCACTCACACCACTGGTCCTGTAGGGCTCATCCGCCCTGGATTCCCTGTATTTTCAGTTCCTATCTGTACCAGTGTACATCCTCTGGTCTAGCCAGACTTGCAAGGTAAAATTCGAGTCATGGTAGTGGGAGCCGGGAGGAAATATTTAGGAATTAGAGGAAAGTTGTATTTCTTATCGTTATTACATCATCACCTCCCCGAGACCCCTCTGCAAAGGGATCTCCTGTGTGTATTTTGTATCTTCTAACTTCAATTATCTTTGTAAAAGAATTATATCTAACTTTTGAAATTATATATTACGAGCATGTTTCGTAAACATTTGTTATAACTTTAGACATGTTAATAGTGGTAAGAGTCTTCCTAATAGAATTAACTCATGATCTTGCTATGGGGAGATTTTTCTCAGGAAATCCCTTTTATGTACTCCATTCATTAATGATGATTTAACATCCTTGCAATGATCTCTACCAATCACCTCGGGTAATATGGCTGTTGAACTGAGAAAGCATTAAAAACAAACATTTTTTTATCCCATCTGATTCAAAGCAAATGCCTTTACTATAGCCAAAAAAGTACAGACAGACTGCTCCTTCGAGGTAAGATACCAAGACTCCGTGTCACATGCTTGGACAGGTGTCAGAAAGACCAGTCCCTGGAGGAGGACGTCCTGCTTGGTAAAGTGTATGGGCAGCAGGGAGAAAGCGGAAGGGCCTCCACCGTGGCTGCAGCAATGGCTCAGCTACAAGAACACGCGTGGGGTGGCGCAGGACCCGGGGTGGCTATAAGTGGAAACCAACACGGATAGCACTAACCACAGCCACGCTGAAATACGAATAGCATAAGACATGGAGACTCTGCTGTTGGGATGCACTGAGCCCCGCAGAGCAAGACTAGAAAAAATTTGAGGGATAAATTTGGGACTTGGGTTCTGTTTCTATCTTTGCTCTTTTACAAAAACAACACAAAACAAACCCTTCTTTTCCACCTTTTTTTTTGAAACATGCAATGTAGTTTTATCCTGTGTCTATGTGTGAGTTGCTATAAGAACAAAGAATATGAGAAAATGCAATTCACTTGTATCTGTCACAGCTGTGGAAAGGAAAATGGGGGCTTGGGAGAAAGGGGAGAAAGTGAGAAGGGAGGGGTGAAAGCCAAAGAAAGAAGAAGGAGATCTAGGGTCCCCAAACATTTAACAGCTTCTCACTGCTTATCGAATAAAACATGAATTTTCTTCTTTTTTAATCATTTTATTGGGGGCTTTTCCCCCCCACAGAATAGACTGTTTATTTACATCTTAGCACAATCCATACATTCCTCCAGTGTGTCAAGCACATTTGCACATATGCCGCCATCATCATTTTCAAAGCATTCTCTCCCCACTTTAGCCTCTGATATCAGCTCCCCATTTCTTCCCCCTTCCTCCCCTGCCCACCCTCCCTTTCGAACCCTTGATAAGTTAAAGATTATTATTGCCATATCTTACATCATCCTCCATCACCCCTCACCCACTTTTCAGTTGTTCATCCCCCTTAGAGGGAGTTATAGGTTGACCCTTGTGATTGATACCCCCCACTCTCCCCTAATCCTCCTAGTATCTCTACTTCATTGTTGGCCCTGGGGGGTTTATCTATCCTGATTCCCTGTGTTGCGGGCTCTTATCTGTAGCATGTGCATGTTCTGGTCTAATCCAATTTGTAAAGTAGAATTGAGGTCATGATAGTGGGGGGAAGGAAGCACCAAAGAACTAGAGGAAAGTTGTGTGTTTCATCGGTGCTATACTGCACCCTGACTGGCTCATCTCTTCCCTTTGACCCCTCTGTAGGGGATGTCCAATTGTCTACAGATGGGCATTGGGTCTCCACTCTATGCCCCACATCCCCCATTCATCTTGGGTTTGATTTTGTTCTGGGTCTTTGATGCCTGATACCTGATCCCATCGACACCTCATGACCACACA